GAGCACCCCAGGAGCAAGACCAAGACGAGGTGGAAGAAAGGAAAGTCTGGTCAGCTATGACGAGTCAGCCATTAAGATAAAGGGTAGACAGACAAAGACATGACTCTGTGCCACGGGGCCGATGATGTCACCTGACCAGGAAGAGAATGGGGAGTACAAGGCCCAGGTCTGGTCTCTATCGATACGGGATCTGCTGCCCCAAACCAGGGAGGCAGGCCAGGACAGAAACAGCAGGGCTGTGGGCCCTGCAGAGGGGTGTGCCTCTGTTCTCTTCTCAAACGTCTAGGCAGGCTGTCAGCTGCCCCATGAAGAGGGAGAGCAGAAGTCCGCTGAGAAGCCGTACAGCGCGGACTCATGGCGTCCAGTCCATACTGGCCCCACTCATGGAGCATGAACCATGTGCGAGGGCTACATCCTAGACAGGGCAGGCACCAGGGAGTGGGCACTAGGGCCGGCCTTGTTTTCAGAGGAGGAAACAGACTGAAGAAGCTAACCAGCAGCCCAAGGTACAGGCGGAGGCAGAGACAGATGTGAGTGAGGATCCAGGAAGACGGATGCCTAACCTCCAAAGTTCTGCATCGACCCTGAGTTTCTCAGTCATCAGCATCCCAGTAGAGCAAAAATAGTACCTATTCAATCTTGTATTTCCAGTGCCGTAAAAAATGGCTTTCTATTGATTTGTATTACAAATAAATAGCACTCTTACCTGCGTTTAACTTGGTGAAAAGAACATCTGTAAGTCTGAGACGTAGGCATCTCACCCATCCTGTTTGTGTCAAGCACAGGGCACAGGCACCCAGTAACAATTTGTATGTTCAGTTTGGAACACATCTGCAGACAGAATTCCTGGGTAGTGAGGCACCACACGTGCCTGTTAATAGTCATGCCATCTCAGCTAATGGTAAACTGAGGACAGTGCTCCTGTTTCTAGAAACTTAACTGGCTGTAATGATACAATCCTCTTTCCCCATGGTCATTAAATTCAGTCCTCAGCATGAAATAAAAGCATCTGAGGCTCGCTTGTCCTAATGAGCAGAGACATTCGATAGGGTTCCACAGAACAGTGGGGAAGATTCAAGACAAGGAATGGAAAATAAAGGTTAAATATACAGCTGGGGTGACTGCTCAGAAATGTCCAATCAGAACACACCAGAGCCTGAAGACAGGCAGGTGCTGGACAAGCTTGTCTAGCTGCCACCTTGTATGTTAATTATAAACTTTACAAGCCCATCCTATGGATTGTTACCACCACTATGCTGGAGACGGACCATGCATTAGCCTGGGGTTTTATGCCTAAGGAAACACTTACTTCAAATACCAGAAGGGCCTTGGTGGTTAAGTGGTTTCACTTTGTGTCCGGGAATACGGACTCTGGGGACTGAACAGGAAGGCCTGGATCCTTGGAGTGGTGAGTTCAGTGAGTTAAGTCTCTTAGAACAGGCAAGCTCATAGTGTACCCTGATGTCTGTGATAAAAATGAAGAAGCCGAGCACAGTGGCACACACCTTTAACTCCAGTACTCAGGGGGCAGATGCAGGCGGATCTCTGAGTTTGAAGCTAGCCTGGTCTATGTACTGATTCCAGGACAGCCGGAGCTACATAGTAACACCTTATCTCAAAAAAGAGGAAGAGGAAGAAAAAGAATGGGTAGTAGTAGTAGATGATACATATGCATGCTTACAAGTTTCTAGACTTTTGGGGAAGTACAGAGTAAGTGCTTGCAGTCCTCGGGAGCCAAAACCGGTTTTTTTTCCTAGTATGTAAAAAGATGAGAGACTAGAGAGCGGCTCAGCAGTGAAGAGAACTGGCTGCTCTTCCAGAGGTTTGACTTGCAGCACCCGCTCCATGGTCAGCTCAAATCCACCCCAGGTGATGCTCTTCTGACCTCTGCAGGCGCCAGACATGAACGTGCTGTACTTACTTACATGCAGGCAAGGAGGCCACGCACATAAAATACGAGAAAAATTTAAATCAGCGGGACATGGTGGTGCAGGCCTAAAATCCCTTGAGGCTGAGGCAGGATGACCATAAGCTTGAGATCTACCTGGATACAAAGTGAGTTCAAGGCCAGCCTCAGCAACTTAGGGAGAGCCTGTCTCAGAAAGCAAAAAGACCTGGGGTCATAACTCAGGGGTAGAGCTCCTGCCTAGCACGCAGGCAGTCCTAGGGTCAATTGCTAAATATCACCAAGAAAGGAAGGAAGGAAGGAAGGCAGGCAGGCAGGCCTTCAGGTTTTCCCAAGTTTTCCATCTTGGACAAAGTGTGTTACGTGCAAAGCAAATTCTGGGAGGCAGAGGCTCATAGAAGCTCCGGCAAGGCCTAAAACCTAATAAACCTAATCACTCAGACATGAACAAAATAAAGCTCTTGACCTACAGAAATATGAGAGGAAAATCAAACCCCTCGGCATGAACCAGGAAGGCCAGAGGGAGAGGACCTTTGTGAGGAGCGTGGCCTCGGAAGCTCTGTTCCTGGGTGCCAGGCAACAGTATTCCACACCTTGCTTCAAATTATTTTGTTTTTTCTTTGTAAAAAAATCATATCCACCACCAATTCTTTCCTCCCACTGCCTCAGGGAAGCCCTGGGGATGGGGTGGGTGGGGGAAATCCAACCAATACCGCCCCCCTTTTAAAGTTTAAAGGGCTTGGGGCCAGGTAGCCAATGCCTTTAATCCCAGCACTGGGGAGTCCAAGGCAAGCAGATCTCTTTGAGTTCAGGACTAGCCTGGTCTACACAGTGAGATCCTGGACAACCAGAGGCACACAGTGAGAGTCACTTAAGTAAGGTGGTTTTTTTTTGGGGGGGGGGGGCGGGGTTTGAGACAAGGTTTCTCTGTGTAAGCTTTGTGCCTGTCCTGGATCTCACTCTGTAGACCAGGCTGGCCTTGAACTCGCAGAGATCCGCCTGCCTCTGCCTCCCGAGTGCTGGGATTAAAGGCGTGCACCACCACGGCCGGGCTCAAGTTTTTGAAGAGTATTCAAGCAGTCAGCTAACTAACCCTGGCAGCCCAGGGCTAAGGCCTGCCCAGGGGCTGGGGAACCTGAGCAGACAGTGTGTGCTGGTAAACTTGCTGAGCCTCTCCTCAGACCCAGGCCCCAGTCTTAGCCCTTTTCAGGACTGAGACACTGAATCCGCACAAGAACTGCAAGTTGTTACTGTCCTCTGGCAAAAGCGCCTAAGCAGGACCACACGAGGCCGCCTGTCCCAGGTACTCTGCGGCAAACGGAAGGGCTCCCCAAGCTGCTTCCAGAAGGCTCTGCTGCTTCCTGTTAAAGGGGCCACACTCCCCCCCTCACACACCTACAAGGAAGTGTCACTGACTCCACACACGCTCTTTAAGCTGTTTAGGATACACGGTATGACTTAGACTGCGCCCTGGCACGTTGGCTACCTCACGGTGCATGAGCTGTGCACCTCCACACGACCATGCACCGTGAGGTAGCCATGCGATTTTTCCAGTGTACAGCAATGTATACTGTGGCGTGTACCAGCTTCGCCTAGACAAGAGTTCTCTTTCATCTACCTGCCTGTACTCACTGCCGGGAATGGACCCAGGACAAAATACCTATGGCAACGTTTTCCAAGCACTGATGACTCCGTCTTTAGCAACCTCGGGCCTCAGAGGGAGCTGTGGTGCTTTTATCGTCTCAGGAATTCTGACTGTGTGAGGAGAGGAAGGAGCGATGGAGGAGGCTCAGTTCTGTAGAGTAAGTTGCATAATCCATGAGATGAGAATAGTCCGTCTCTTTTTTCCCTCTTACAAAAGAAACTATAATCTCACACATCTTGGAAGATAACCATATTACAAGAAAAATCATGACTGTGTCTGAATAAAGTCAAATTAATTTCATGACTTAGACTCGAGTTTAAAATCATAGATATGAGTAGCTGTGTACAGGAATATGGTAGAGGAGTCAAGAGAACACATTGAGAGCAAGGAGGTAAAAAAATGAGAATAAAATCATAATAAAAATGAGTAACATCCCATAACTCACATACCAGATGCACTGTCAAATAACTGAAGAGTGGGAAAGTTCGTTAAGGAATATCTACCTCCTAGAGAGAAAAATGCCACTTCAGAGGGAAAACAGCACAACAGAAAGAAACTAACCTGAAATTGTACCTAGACTGAGGAAATATAAGACAGCACCTGCCTGGGACGAGCATGGGTTCTGGGACTCCGGGAGGCTGGCACGCTCGCTCACTGCGAGTCTCCAATGGGAACAAGAAGACCACCCCTCCACCTTCCACTTTCCACCGGGGAGGACTTCACTTCCCAGTCTCATTCTTTCCTTACTGGAAGGTCAAAGTTGGAAGGGAATTAACTAGAAAAAACACAGTGGGTACATTCCTCCTCGGGGAAAAAAACCCACATCTAAGGCCAAGTGTCCGGCTCGGAGAAAGCCAGAAAGAGCCGGCTCGGGTCGATCCTCCGTACCCGGGCGCTCCTCAAACCTGTGACCACCCGGCGCCAGCTGCCGGACAATAGGTCCTTGTGCCGAGCGCCGGGGAAGATGCGCCGTCCCGGGGCAGATTCTCTCTTTTCTGTACACACCCCTTTGCTCCGTCCTGACCCATAGCTGCCACCTCCCTGGTCTCTCCCGGTGAGGCACGCTCCGTCACTACCCGAGCAGTGGCATCCAGAAGGACCGGGAACTGCGCACTGGGACCTGGCCGGCTACTTTCAGAGGCGGCAAACTTCACTTCTGACTCCCCGCTTACCCGCAGCCCTGGACCCATCTCCCAGTCGGTCCCCGTTCCCCGCGCGGGCCCGCCCCGCTACAACTGAGCGCGACCCCCGGGATGGATGTCCCTTAACCCCGGGATCGCCAGGGCTGCAACTGCCTTCCCCGGGTGGGCCTGGCCGAGCGCAGGTGAAGGGCGGCGCGGACCCTTCGGCGGGACGTTCCCGGCCTGGACCCCGATCCCGATCCCCATCAACCCCGACCCTGGCCCCGGCCTGGGCCCCAGCCCTAGCCCAGCGCGCCACTCCACTCACGTATCTGCGCACGAGCGTCCTCAGGAGGCTGCAGTCCATGGTGGCCGCTCCGGGCTCTGCGAGCCCCGCGGGCTGCAGGCGCTAATGCAGCCGCCCCCCCGCCCGGTCACGGCCTGGGCGGCGCGGGGGGCGGCCGCGGCCCCTCCGCGCTCATGCCCCGCCGCCCGGCGGTCAAGGGACGCGGCTCGCGCGCAGGCGGGCTCGGAGGAGGCGGCCCGCGCCCCGCGCTGCTCCCCGTCGGGCCGGCGCGGCCTGCGCTCGCTCGCTGCTCCGCGCCTGCTCCTCCCGCGGCCGCCGCGCCTCTGGAGCCGGCTCTGCCCCGCTGCGCCCCGCGCGTCACGGGCGCGTGTGAGCATGCGCGCGCCGCAGCCCCCGCCCCGGCCCCCGCGCGCGCGCCGCGACTCCCTAGCGCGCGCCGCCGCCGCCGCCGCCGCCCTGTTGCTTCCGCCTCCCTGCGGGGCGGGAGGGCGCTGTCACCGCCCTCCTGTGGCTCGCCCGGTGCGGGTTCCCCATCTCCCTGGGCTCACTCCTGTTCTGGAAAGGAAGCCTGGCTGTGAGCCCGGGGGCCCGATGGCGGGCGCGGTGGGCCTGAGCCCCTGAGCCTGTGGGTCACGCCTCCCGCCTTGGCGTGGGCAGAAGGCGCAGGATCCTCAGGTGGCTGCAGGGTGCAGACACCACCACCCCTTTTAGGACTTCCTCCCTTGGAGACCCAACCAAACATGTCCTGATCTGGCTGGCTCTTATGACTGCTTCTACCTGCTGCTGGGGTCCTGTCTCGGGTCCTCCATCCAGACCCAGGCCTCTGGGTTTTGCCTGGTGATCCAGTCCCCAGTCAAGTGCTTCCTGTTACTAGCTTTCAGCTAAATACCACCTCTAGCACCCCTAGTTCCAGGTGTGAAGCCTGCACGACGTTCCTTACCTCCGGGCCCCCCTAACCTAGCTGATGTTTACAGGTTCCATCCCTTGCTTTTGCTTCAGATAACTGTAGAACCCGATGGGGACTAAGGATCTGCCGTGGCCAATCAGGAGCAAAAGACCGGGCCTTAGAAACGTATTTAAGACCATTCTGACAGGGTGTGGGGGAGATCTGGTGCTGCTGCAGTTCAGGTTAGACTCATGACCATGGACGAGTTCCAGTGACTAAGCAGAAAGGCCCCCTGAGCCACCAGCTCGCTGTTTCCTATTTTCCAACCCATTTCCCCAACGGCCCTCTGCCCTGTTCTTCACCTGGGTTCCACACCCGTGTCTCACCACACGGCACCTGCTGCACACACTGAGCCAGTCTGGGCGAACGTGTTTCTCTCCGGCCTTCCTGGACTTGCCATGAGCCTGGTGGTGTTGGAAGGCAGCTGTCACTGGTAGCTGGGTGTGGACTCTTGACGGCAGGCCCCTGTGCCTAGGGACTAATGGCTGGCCCTGCACCTGATGGTTCTGTGGCCATAACTGCATGCTTATGTGTCCTTGGTGATACCATCTAATTTCTACCATGACAAGGTACTGCTAGGATAAACTGTAGGCTTCTGGTGGCAAGTTACAATTGGAATGGGTGAGCCTGGCACAGACCGGTCTCAGGATGAAGACTTCCTATCTTTAGAGAATGTCTGTTCTACGCAGAGACGTGTGTTCATTTTCTCTTCTTTTTTCTTATTTTCTCATTTGGATTTTTGAGACAGAATCTTTATCCTAGGCTGGCCTCAAACTCTATGCAGTCTTCCTGCCTCAGCCTCTTAAGTGTTAGGTGTACAGGAGTGAACCCCCATGCCCAGCTTACTCTTCATACTGAGGAAAGCATGTCCCTAGAGGTACAGCAGGAGTGACTTCATCCTTGTCCTCTAAGCCTTCACCCTTTGTGGGGCTCAGGATACTGTCTGGTTCCTCCCAGCTAACACCATCCTATCAAGGGGCTGGCTTATTCTAAATGAGAAAGCTAACGAACACCGAACACCGGGAGGAACTTGGCGGGAGGATGCTTGATGAAGATGTTTTAATAGCACTTGCCCAGGACCACTCTTAACAAACATGCTCCCCTTTTGAGAATGAAAGCTGTTGTCTGGGGGCAGTGCCCAATACTTTGCAGCCTCCTTACAGACATCAGAGGATCAGAGGTGGTAGCCTGAGGAACGTATTCTTGCTGGGCACAGAAGCATGAGAACGTGAGCTCAGCAGGGAATACTATAGATCCATTAACCAGTCCTAACCAGAAACTTACTAACGTAAGAGTCAATGCGAATATGTTTAAACCAGGTAAGTTGGGTTTTCCATTATCAACAGATGTCAGCGCTTTTAACCTATAAAAAACAAATCAGTTAGGACGCTGTTAAAATAGCAGAAACTCCAACTTCTTCTGTGAACCTGCTAGTCATTGCTGTGTAAGAAGCTGCTACCCATGCAGGAGGTGTTTAAGCAGCAGGCAGCCAGCACGGGCCAGGGCTCCCAGGCTTGGCAGGTTGTTCCGCCCTCCCTGGTATTGGCTGGGAAGGTATCTCCAAGCTACCACATTCTTCTGGAGGCTCTGCCAAGGTAGGATTGTCCCCACAGCTCGAGTCACATACACAAGTGTCCCTAGGTGGAGAACTGGGAGCTTGGGGGTGGGGGTGGGGTTCTTCTTTTCAAATGGCTTCTTACGACTCAGTGGTCTAGCCTGGACTTCTTCACACAGTGGTTGGGTCTCTCAAGAGCCAAAATGGACACTACAGAGCTCCTAAAGGCTGAGTTTGGAGTCCCCAGAGCATTCCCTCTGCCACACTCTTCTGGAGAAAGTGAGCTCATATGCCTTCTGCCTCCCTCCATAGGAACACCAGTAAGCCATGTTTCCAGAAGTGCCTCCAGGTCACACAGGTGCTGCCCCAAGACAGCAGGCCACGTCCAACGGGAGGACATCTTACTTCTCATGCCTCCCACAATCCCTTCCAGCTCCCTGACTGGTTTTTTTTTTTTTTTTTTCTGGAATCTTCTTCTGCAGAATAAGATCTTATTTCATCATCCTTTTATGGTAAATCCTGCCCCCTTCCCTCCACCTTCTTAGTTTCCTTTAGTTCTGGGTAATGGCTTCTTCCCTTAGCACGTTAGTGGCATCGGTGAGTATCGTGTGCTTCTTCTCTCAAAGCAGCTCACCTAACCCTCATAGACTATGATCACTCGGGGAAGTTTGTCGGTTTGTTTTCATAGCGCTCGCCCAGGACTACTCTGTCCCAGGCATTTTGCCCCAGTGCTTTTTAAAGCTAGCTGAGCTCTGAGCAGGTGAGAAAGACTGCTGGGGCTGGCTACGGCCATCGATCTTTCACTCTTTGGCACAGCTAGGGACCTTGTATGTACAGGTGCTTGACAAATTGTGGAAAGATTAAATTACACATAGACTGCCATTTTGGCCACTGGGCGTCAGCAGGAAGAACAAAGGGAGGTCGTGACGCATTGCCAGAGAAAAGAAAAACCATGGTCCACAGCAATTCATCCGAGACAGGCTCCTGTGACTGTGTAACAGCACTACAGAGTAAGGTCCCAGACTCAGAATGTCCTTGAGATCATGCTAGCAGCCAGGTTCTGCAGCACTTCCCTGGAATGTATCTAGGAGGTGTTCATGGGGCAATACCAGAGTTTATTTATTTATTCTGAGACACTTTCACCATGGGGCAGTACCAGAGTGTATTCATTTATTCTGAGACACTTTCATCATGGGGCAATACCAGAGTGTATTCATTTATTCTGAGACACTTTCACCACGGAGAGCGATGTGTTGGTTAGAGTTACTATAGCTATGATTAAACACACTGGCCAAAAGCAGCTTGGGGAGGAAAGGGTTATTTCTCTTAGAACTCTCTGGCCACGCTCCACCACAAAGGGCTATCAGGGCAGGAACCTATCACAAAGGGAAGTCAGGACAGGAACCTGCAGGCAGGACCTGAAGCAGAGGCCATGGGGGAACACTGCTTACTGGCTTGCCCTTCGTGCCTTGCTTTCTTGTACCACACAGTATGGCCTACCCAGAGGTGGCACTGCCCTGATGGGCTGGAGGTGGGCCCTCCCACATCAATCATTAATCAAGAATATGCCGCACAGACAAACCTACAGGCCATTTTCTCAACCGAGATTCCCTCTTCCCAGGTACCTCCAGGTGTCTGTCAAACTGACAAAAAACAACGAACACATCCAGGCTAACCCTAAAGTCATGCTCCACCTGCCCCAGCCTCCCAAGTGCTGGGATTAAAAACAACTAACACATCCAGGCTAGCCCTAAAGTCGTGCTCCACCTGCCCCAGCCTCCCAAGTGCTGGGATTAAAAGTGTGCACCATAACTGGGCGTACATTTTATAGTTTTATAAAACAAAGAAAGTCATACATCCAGGCAAGTTTAAAACACACTGGTGGGTACAGCAAGAAGGGGAGCTTTTCTATAGGCCTCAGATGGTATTTGATAACGTTCTTTAGCTTTGGGGTTGGTGGAAGCTAGTGGTCTGCTAAGTCAATGGATTCCGAAAGGTTTTTATCTGTTAGTCACAGGATGTTAGTTCTGGCACACAGAGGTGGCCAAGGAGAGGCTATTCGGGGGACTAAAGCTAGCTCAGGAACTGCTTCTGGACCTGCAGCATTCCAACCTCTCCGCATCACTGTGGTTCTAATCAGCTAACTCCGGTAGATGAAGCTCCCCTCCAGGAATTCTCCTGGACAGGTCTCTGAGGTTTTGCGCCCCCCACCCCACCCCCAGTGTGCTGGATCTTTCCTTCCTCAAGTTCTCCAGTCAGGAGAGGGTTTCAGTCAGGGGGTCCTGGTGCCTCCAGAGGCTCTGTTTTCCTAAGTGGTTGCCTGTCCCCCAGGTGAGAATTTGGGGGGTTAGTTTGCTTCTCAACATCTTATTTTTCTCTTATTTTTCAGAGAGACTGTGTAAAAGGAAAATATGCTAGGAGTTCTTTTATCCTTTACACTCTCATTTTAGTTCTCTGAAGGATCAATGATTTTCACCCCAGTTTTCTTAAAAGGAAAACAAAACCAGTGCTGTGGTGTGTAAAATTACCAATAAAGCAAATGAAAGCAATTTGTTGTGCCCACTTATTTGAACAGTAACTTTAATATAAGCTGTTAGTGCATCTCTGACAGATTAAATAAATGGTAGGCTCTCTGAAATATGAGTTGGACAATCATTAGCAATTCGTCATTATTCAAGGCAATTTGCG